TTCTTGGAAACAATTAGTCCTAGCGACTGGTACACCATCCCATCTGTAGCCTATATGACTATGAGACCAGAAGAACTAGATGGTGCCCGGCTACTACTGTCAACCACTGGAAAGGGATCTATGTAGCAGATCCTGGGTAGAGAAGGAGAACTATGTGGAACAAAACTCAAAATCATTTGGAAAAAAAAAGGGGGGGGGACCAGGTTTGCTGGTCCAATAGAGCCTGGTGGAACCACTGAGACTATGGCCCCTAGCTGCCCTTCAGGTCTGGAATTGAACCCACGCCTGTGGCTTCCAGCCAACAATAGACAGGCATATGAGTTGAACATTTACCTGAGATAGATCCACTCCTTGGAGAGAACAATCATGGGAGAAAGGAGGGCTGCTTATGTACAGGGAGACAGCTCAGGGGGCAGGAGTGCATGGAGGGATGGACACAGGGAAGAGGTTACTATTGGGAAGAAGTAGGAGGGGAGCTGTTGCATTGTGGTAAATTGTGGTCAGTCATGAATGTGAACTGCTGTATGGAAAGTAAATTTGCTCTGTAAATTTTCACCCAAATCACAATAAAATATATATATATATATATATTGCCTCTCCTGCTGTTTTTTGGTTACCATTGGCTTGGTGTATTTTTTTCAACCCCTTAACTTTTAATTTGTTTTTATCTTTGTGTAAGATGGATCTCTTGTAGGCAGCATATTGATGGGTCTTCTTTTCTTATCCAATCTGCCACTCTCTTTCTCTTGTCTGGTGCACTTAGTCCGTTCACATTGAGTGTAATTAGTGATAATTATGAATTGAGTGCTGTCATTCTATTGTGTTTTTTGTTGTGTTGTTCGAGATTTCCTTGGTCCAAATACTTTTCTGTGCTGAGTTCATTTTGTTACCAAGTGTTTCCTCTCCTTTCTTCTTTATTGTTGGTTTTGTGCTTATTAAACCCATAGGCTTTCCTTGTTTCTAGGTTTGCTTACCGGGATTGTTAATTTTCTTTTTGGTTACCTTGTCTCTATAATTTTGCAACAGTCTTTTCTATAAGGACATTGTCCTGTCTTCCTCTCAATTTGTAAGTTTTATACTTAGAACTTTCATTCCCTCTATTTGCTTAGTTGCTGGTGTTGTCTGCAGATTGATTCCCTGTTTCTTTGTGTACAATGTTTTATAAGCTTATTTTGAGCATCTATTTCTGATTTGTTTTTAGTGTTGATGTCACACGTCCTGATTTTAATTTGTTCTCTGTTGTGGGTTCTCTATTGGAAGGACTTCCTTAGACATTTCTTGTAGGGTTGGTCTGGTGTTCACAAAATACCTTAATTTCTGTTTGTCTGAGAATGTCTTGATTTCAGCCTCATATTTGATAGACCATTTGGCTGGATATAGAATTCTTGGTTGGAAGTTCTTTTCCTTTAGAGTTTTATATATGCTGTCCCGTTGCCTTTGTGCCTACATGATTTCTGCTGAGTAATTAGAACTTAGCCTAATTGCTTGGCCATTGTAGGTGACATTTTTTTTTTTTTTTTTCCTAGGCTTCTCACAAGAGTCTGTCTTTGTCTTTGGTTTTGGAGAGTTTGATTATGATATGTCTTGGTGCCTTTCTCTTGGATATATCCTGTATGGGTTCGTTGAGCTTCTTGGACAAATATCTTTTCTTCCTTCATGATATGGGGAAAATTTTCTGTTAGCAAGTTTTCCACAATTTTCTCAGTGGTGGGTTTTTTTTTTTTTTTTTTTTCCTCTTCTGGTATTCCAATGAGGTGTATGTTGTTTCTTTTCATGTTGTCCCATATTACTCTTAGGTTCTCTTCATTTCTCTTAAATCTCTGTTCTGATTTTTCTTCATACAGGCTGGTGTCAAGGGATTTATCTTCTATTTGGGAAATGCATTCTTCAGTCAGTTCTAGCCTATTCTTCTGTGCTTCCACTGTGTTGTGTAATTCTGTAATTTTAGTGTTCATCTTCTGGATTTCTAATTGCTGTTTTTGTATGAGTTCCGATTGTTTATTAATCTTATTATTTTGTTCTTGAATGGTTTTCCTGAATTCTTCCAGGGTACTGTCTGTGTTCTCCTTGGTTCTGTTTGTGGTTTCCTTGAGCTCTTGTAGAGTTCTATAAACATCTTCTGAATTCCTTCTTGGATAATTCTATTGCCTCTTCTTCCTCCATGTTTAATGAGTTTTTTTGTCTGGAGTTTTATTTCTATTGTTTTGTCCTGTTTTTTTTTTTTTTATTTTATTTATTTGATTTGAAGTTGCCTGTCATTTCCTAGATATTTTGAAGTTGTTTTTTTAACTGTTAGTTATGTATTGATTTGTTTTGCCTTGATTTTGTATTCAAATATATTTGCAAGGGTGGAGCTGAAGTATTTTATTTTATTTTTTTTTTTTGGTTATTAAATCAGGTGTGCTGGGTTGCTCTGCAATTTTCTTTGTGTTGATGGAATCACTGTAGGGAGTGTGGATACAGGTCTCTCTGTTCGTCGTGAAGGGGATTTAGAGTTGGGACGAGCAGGTGTTGTGGTGCCTTAATGTGGTCCTTCTATTGAGTGAGGCAGGGGAAAAGGGAAAAAAGAGGAAGAAAAGAAAAAAAAAAAAAAACCAAGATGCCAGTAACGAATCCCCACTTTCCATGTTTCCGTAATTACTGCTGGTTCTGGGGTTTTATTCAGAGTCTGCTTGGGACAGCTACCAGTGCTGATGTTTTGTTGTCACTCACAGACCTGCAGTTTAAAATCAGCAAAGACCTCAATGGTTAGGGAGCTGCTACTTTCCAGTTGGGTTGGATAGCTGCAAAAACTCTGTGCTAAAAAGCTGTCATGGAAGAGCTGAATCCCAGCCTTGTGCTGTAAGCTCTTCCCAGGATCCACCTACCTGTGACATGTTTCCTCCCTTCCCCCTTTCCACTCTCAACTCTGTGGCAACTTGAGCCACAGGGGTTTCTGCTCTGTTTTTCAGAAATGCTGTTCACTTACTCAGCTCGGTTCCCAAGGTTACCGTCAGAGGCTGCTGTTGTGGGTAGTCTGAGTCCACGAAGTTGTCATTGGTTCCCTGGTGTCCCTTTTTTCTTTTTTCCTCTATGGCTTTCTTTGGTATTGTTAAAAGAGTTTTCTGCTTCTCTGTCTCACGCTCTCGCTCGCCACCAAGTAAGTTCATTTACTTTTTCTGGCTGTTTACCCTGTTTTTTTTCTTCTTCACCACTAAATCTGGCCTTCTGTAACTTACTGAGCTGTTGATAGCCCCAGAATCCCTGCTTCAAACTGCTGCACCTAGTTTTTGAGGGATTAAGATGCTAAAGGGAACAGACGTGTGGGCTACAGGTTCGATGCCATCTTCCACTATCCCATTTTTTCCTTTTTGAATGGCATCATCTATAACTGTTATCCTATGCCCATTCCACCATTGTATTTTGGGAACAAATAACTTGTTTTTCTAGTTTCATGGTCCACAGATAGAAAAGAATTTTTCCCAGAATGGATCAGTGCAAGAATATCACCCATATCTGATTGAAGTGATTAATTAGATTTTGTACTTTGGAGCTGATGATATTTTGATGATATTTTAGACTTGAGTTCCTGCTGTAATGGTCTGATACTTTAGGGGCTGTTGAGATGGGGTGAACATATTTTGCATGTGGGATGCATGTGAATCTTTGAGGGCCAAAACATGGGCTGTGATAGGCCAAATAATGACCTTCAAAGATATTAAGGACCCAATCCCTAGGATCTGTACATTTTACTTTATATGGCAAGAGGGACCTTGCAGATGTGATTAATGATATCGAGGTGACGAGATTATATTGAACTGTCCAAATGGACCTTAAATATAGTCGTAACTGTCTTTATAAGAGGGAAGAAGAGAGAAATTTAACACAGAAGAAGAGAAGGTGATATGGTGGTAGAAGCAGAGGATGAAGTGATGTGCTTCAAAGATGGAGGAAGGAGCCACAAGGCAATGAATACAGATGGCCATTAGAAACTGAGAGAGGCCAGGAATTGAATCCTTTTCCTCAGAGCCTACAGAAAGAATCATCCTGCCAACACCATGACTTTGGTCAATGAAACTGGTTTCAGATTTTCGGCCTCAGAAGTGTAAGAAAATAAATTTATGTTGTTTTAGGGAACTATGTTTGTGGTTAGAGTAGCTATAGGAAAGTAATACACCATCCTTTAAATTAAATTGGGACTTAACTATAATTTACAATGTTCACTTCTCCTAAGGGTATGATATGGTTCCTCTATTTCAGTCTCCTATTTTTCTCAGGAAAGTATTATAATTTTATTAAAAGAAGACCTGAAAATTTTGTGATAACATTATTTTGAGTACTACAATCAATGGAATTATTTTAAATATTTTTTTGTTTTTAAAGAGAAAAGCTAAGTTTGAATTTATTTTCCATTGTCAAGAAAAATAAACAAGTTACATTTGTCTATTGGAAATGTTTGTTGTTCTGTCTCCATTATAGACATTTTAATAGAATATGGTTTCTTTGGGAGGAGGTACCATGTTGGATACTTCATTTGTTCTTCAAAAATTCTAGCACAATTCTGGGAACACAGTGAGTGCACCAAAGTGCTGTGCTGAGTGTTATCTTTGTTGAAATTTAATGAAAACAACTACAACAAATCTATATACAGTCTTTATAAAACTCTGGATATATAATGGTACACTACAAATAGTTGAGCATATTTTTTAGTCTTTGCCTTACCACTGGTTGCCTTTTCTGGCTGTTTACCCTGTTTTTTTTTTCTTCTTCATCGCTAAATCTGGCCTTCTGTAACTTACTGAGCTGTTGATAACCCCAGAATCCCTGCTTCAAACCGCTGCACCTAGTTTTTGAGGGATTAAGATGCTAAAGGGAACAGACGTGTGGGCTACAGGTTCGATGCCATCTTCCACTATCCCATTTTTTCCTTTTTGAATGGCATCATCTATAACTGTTATCCTACGCCCATTCCACCATTGATTACCTTTTCTTTGTGTTGATGGAATCACTGTATTTATCAGATGCAAGGCTGACTTTGAGAAAATATATTGGAAAGATCTGTGCAGCCATTACGGACATGGAAAAGGGACCAGGAAAACTCCTTAAGGAAGACAAGGTACTGTGTTGTGTTTTCTGCTTATTCTGTATTTTGAACTTTTTTGGCCTATGTCTTTAATGTGTGCACTAGAAGGTAGAGACTAGAGCTCTGCAGGTAGGGTGGCGATCCTTCCTTCTTTAATGGAAACATTTATAGTATTTCTCCATTTTTAATATGATATTTACTATTATTTTCTGATAAATACTGCTTATAGTATCTGAGAAATGTCCTCTATTACTGTTTTAATGTTTTATATGCATTTAAAAAGGATAATTAGGAATCATAGCTAGTAATTAGCTTAATGTCTTAGTTATATAGTGCTGTTACAACAGAAATACTACATGTGGTGGTGTTTTGGTTACCTAGTACCACTCTGACAGGAATATACCACAAATGGGATGGCCTTAACAAACAAGTTTATTCTTAAAATTTGGAGGCTTTAAGTCTGAGTTCATAGTGCCAGGCTCTAGGGGCTGGATGGAAAGCCCCTCAACCTTGGGTTTCAGCTCTGGGTCCTACTCTAGGCCCATTGAAGCTGAAGGCTTTTCTTCACTCAGACAGCTGCTGGCTGCTGAGGCTGCCAAGCCCAAAGTTGACAAGTAAAAAGGCACACTCCCGATGTTACCAAAACACACGACAGGCTATTAATTCAAGTGCATTGAAAGTCCCAAGGTCGGCAGAGCATGGCAGGCTGCTGAACAATGACATGGCTACATGCTGGCTGCAAGCATGCCATAAGTTAGAGACCATTCCTCAAGGCTTCTTCTTATACACAGGAAGCAGACCATATGCAGCTACTCAGCTGCTCACAGTAGATTGCACCATGGAGTTGATTACCAGTCTTAGCATGGGGAATACTACATCCAGCTGCCTAGCCATTCAACCAGGCCCAGCCAAGATGACACACAAACTTAACTACAACAGGTGGCTTTAACAAACAGAAACTTATTTTCTCACAGTTTAGGAGACTAGAAGACTGAATTCAGGGTGTTCTTGGGGAAGGCTTTCTCTCTCTGTTGGCTCTGGAGGAAGGTCCTTGTCTCTTTGAGCTTCTGCTCCTGGGCAACCTTCACATGGCTTGGCATCTCTCTTCTTTCCTGCTTGTTTAATCTCTTTTGTTTCTCAAAAGATATTTTTAAGATTTATCCACTGCTAATCCTGCTTTACTAACATAACAAAGACATCCCAGCTGTACTTCTTCCAGGCATAGCAGTTAGGATTTACAACACATATTTTTTGGGAACATAATTCAATTCATAACACTCTGTAAATATTTTTTGAGCGCTTAATACATTCCAGGTACTGTTTGCAATACTTTACATGTATTAGTTCAGTTATTCCTCATAATAACTCTATGAGGTAGATACTAATATTATCTCCTTTTTCCAGATAAGAAACACAAGGCTCAGAGAGATTAAAGAATTTTCTCAAAGCCACACTTTTTAAGTGGGAAAATCAGGATTTGGACTCAGTTTGACTTGAGAATCTATACTATGCTGAATTTTATTGAAGCTTAAAAGCACCTATTATTGTTGTCTGCGAGTTTTTCCTTATTTAGAATTACAGAGCTAGATTTCCCAATGTTGCACTATTCCTGCATTTCTGAAATGAACTCTGTTCCCTCAAGAGGTGTTATTATTTTGATACATCATTTGGATTCCTGTTATTTAATGTATAAACTCACTGTCATCAAGTCGATTCTGATTCATAGCTACCTCCATTGGGTTTCCAAGGCTGTAAATCTTTACAGAAGTAGATCCCCCCCGTCTTCCTTTTTCAGAGCAGCTGGTGGGTTTGAACCTCTCAACTTCTGGTTAGCTGCCAAATGCCTTAACCATTACACCACCAGAGCGCCTTATTTACTTATTCAATGTATAGTTTTCCTTTTAAGTATACTGAATCTACTTTCCTTTTTCTCATGTGATATTACTAACAGATGGTTGTAAACGTTTAAGATGGTTGTAAATGTTTAAACCTTCTGGACTACTAACCAGAACGTTGGTGGTTCAAACCCACTCAGAGGTGCCTTGGAAGAGAGGCCTGGTAATCTGCTTCCAAAAGGTCACAACCTTGAAAACCATATGGAATAGTTCTACAGTGCACACATGGGGGCACCATGATCTAGAATCAACTCATTGGTAGCTAACAACAACAAAAATTTGTCCCCTAAAAGATAAGAATTTATATAAAATTGTCTTGGCCTTTGTGGTAGTTAAGGTTGTGTGTCAGCTTGGCTGGGCTTGGTTGAGTAGCTGGGCAGCTGGTGGTAGTTATTCCCCATGATGAGACTGGCAGTCAATTCCATGGTGGGATCTACTGCAAGCGCATCTCCCTAGAGCAGGTGTGTTCACGGCCCTGAGGTAAGTGTTCCATATGTAAGTCTTTTTCCTGTTGGGTTGAGACCCATTCCATGGAAGTGAATCTATTTCTAGGTCCAAAGGGTAACTGGAGGCCATAGTCACAGGGTTTCCATCAGTTTATATCCAACCAGTAATTCTGGTCATTTTTGTGTTTTTGAATTTTGTTCCACATTTTTCCTTCCACTCTATCCAGGATCTCCATTTTTGATCCCTTCCATCTAGTTCTTCTTGTCTCTGGGTCATGAAGGCTGAGGTCCTTGTGGGCCATCTTATCTTTGGACTAATTGTTTCCAGATGACTTTGATTTCCTTCACTCTTCTTTGCTCCAAATGAGAGAAGACCAATAATAGTTGCATCTTAGATGGCCGCTTGAAAGCTTTCAAGACCCTAGTCGCCGCTCATCAAAGTAGGTTGTCAAACAAGATTTTTATGTACTATGTTGTGCCAATTGAGCATGATGTCCCCCAGGACTATGGTCCTGAGCCCGCAGCCCTGGTGATTCTCTCTCTCAAGGTGTTTTTGTTTATCTGTGAGAAGCTACTCCAGCCCTGTCTTCTGTTGCTTCTGTAATGTATATAGATAATTTTGTTGTACAAGTGCATATGTAAGATTGTTGTTGTTTGGTGCTGTCAATGGTCTCCAACTCATAGCGACCCCATGCACAACAGTACGAAACACTGCCACTGTGTCAATCCATCTTGTTGAGGGCCTTCCCCTTTTTCGTTGACCCTCCACCTTACCAAGCATAACATCTTTCTCCAGGGAATGGTTCTTTCTTACAGCATGACTAAAGTAGGTGAGACGAAGTCCGGCCATTCTTGCTTCCAAGGAGCATCCCAGCTGTACTTCTTCCAGGACAGATTTGTTAGTTCATTTAGAAGTCCATTGTACTTTCAGTATTCTTCACCAGCACCACAACTCAAAAGCATCGACTCTTCTTCAGTCTTTCTTATTCATTGTCCAGCTCTCACATGCATATGAAGCAATTGAGAATACCATGGCTTGTGTCAGGCATGCCTTAGTCCTCAAGGAGACATCTTTGCTCTTCATCACTTGAAAGAGGTCTTTGCAGCATATTTGCCCAGTGCTATACATCGTCTGATGTCTTGACTACTGCTTCTATTGGTGTTGATTGTAGAACCAAGTAATGTGAAGTTTTTGACAACTTCAATCTTTTCTCCATTTATCATGCTGCTGCTTGTAGGTCCAGTTGTGAGGATTTTTGTTTTCTTTATATTGAGGTATAATCCATACTGCTGACTGTAGTCTTTAATCTTCATCAGTAAGTATTTCAAGTCACCCTCACTTTCAGCAAGCAAAGTTGTGTCATCAGTGTATCACAGGTTGTTAATGATTCTTCCCTCCAATCCTGATGCCATGTTCTTCTTCATATAGTCCAGCTTCTCGGATTATTTCCTCAGCATACGGATTGCATAAGTGTGGTGAAACGATACAACCCTGATGCATTCCCTTATTGATTTTAAACCATGCAGTGTTCCCTTGTTCTGTTTGAACGACAGGTTCCTCATGAGTACAATTAAGTGTTCTGGAATTTCCATTCTTCACAGTGTTATCCATAATTTGTTATGATCCACATAATCAAATGCTTTTGCATAGTCAATAAAACACAAGTGAACATCTTTCTGGTATTCTTTCCTTTCAGCCAAGATCCATCTGACATCAGCAATGATATCCCTCATTTCACGTCCTCTTCTGAATCCAGCTTGCACTTCTGGAAGTTCTCTGTCAATATACTGCTGCAACCGTTTTTGAATTATCTTCAGTAAGATTTTACTTGCATGTGATATTAATGATATTGTTTGATAATTTCCACATTCTGTGAGGTCACCTTTCTTTGGAATGGGTACATATATGGATCTCTTCCAGTCAGTTGATCCGGTAGCTGTTTTCCAAATCTCTTGGCATAGCCAAGTGAGTGCCTTCAGTGGGGCATCCATTTGTTGAAACATCTCAATGGGTATTCCATCAATTCCCGAGCCTTGTTTTTCACCACTTTCTTCAGTGCAGCTTCAACTTCTTCCTTCAATACCATTGGTCCTTGATCAGATGCCACCTCTTGAAATGGATGAACATTGACCAATTCTTTTTAGTACAGTAATTCTGTGTATTCCTTCCATCTTCTTTTGATGTTTCCTGTGTCATTCAATATTGCCCATAGAATCTTTCAGTATTGCAACTCAAGGCTTAATTTTTTCCCTCAGTTCTTTGATCTTCAGAAATGCTGAGTGTGTTCTTACCTTTTGGTTTTCTAACTACAGGTCCTTGCACATTTCATGATAGTAATTAACTTTGTCTTTTTGAGCTGCTTTTTGAAATCTTCTATTCAACTCTTTTAACTTGTCATTTCTTCCATTTATTTTAGCCAGTCTCCATTCAAGAGCAAATTTCAGAGACTCTTCTGACATCTATTGTGGTCATTTCTTCCTTTCCTGTCTTCTTTTTTTTTTTTCCCCCCTAAACAAGTCTTATTTATTTATTATTTATTTATTTTTTAAATTGTGATCTGGGTGAAAATTTGCAGAGCAAATTCACTTTCCATACAGCAGTTCACATACACTTTCTCTCATTACAGTGAGCACAATTTACCACAATGCAACAGCTCCCCTCCCACTTCCTCCCCATAGTTACCTCTTCCCA